GGCTCAAGGTTGACTCAGCCTTCCATCCTTCTGAGGTTTGTAAAATGAGGACCCAGATTGTTGGGGGTAATATGCTGACTCTGTAAACCACTTAGAGAGGGCTGTAAAAGCACTGTGAAGCAGTATATAAATCTAAGTGCTATTACTATTAAATGTTTATTTGAATAGCAGACACATAATTTATGCAAGCTTCTGAAAAGGCAGATTAATTCCAAAAATAATAATAATTCTAGTAGTAAATATTTGTTGTATTGTTGCAGCCATGAGGGGTGGGGTAGGGCTTTTAATGGTTTTATTAGATAATGGGTTTTTTAAATGTTGTAAGCCATCCAGAGTAACCTAAGTATGAATTAGATACCAATATAAATTTGTAAATAAAATAATAAATAAAAATATAATAAAATAATAAAATAATAGCCTTTGCTCAGCATGTTACCAAGCTCATTGCTGATGATTATATAAACCTTATCAATCTTGATTTGAAACAAAGGTTTTAATTGTGTCAAATATTAGAATAAACTCATGTAATGAATGAAAAAGTACAGACTTTCCTTACCCATCATATTTTTAAAATTAATTAAAATTTATTATGGTAAGAATATATAAGGTTTAAATCTTACAAATGCAAGCTGCAATACAATGAACTGCTATGAATTAACTTTGGGTGGATAAAACTCATTCTTGGAATGTTATTATTGAGAGCATGTTGTAAAGAAATAATGACCTTTCTGTTTGCACTGTAGCTAAATAACTTCAATTTACTTTTGACCAGAATGAGTAGAAAGAAAAGGACAACACTTCAAACTGTGGCATTCTAAACATAATTAGTCTGAATTATGCTTGTTTTACTATGCAGAATCTGGTTAAAGGATAATTCTGTATTAAGCTTATTTAACTGCCTAATTTATATGGTAATTAGCACAGTATATTCAAGGTAGAGTCTTCCAAACCCAAGATGCCACAATAACAAAAATGGAAGGATGTTATAATATTGCTGAAATGCTAGCTAACAATTACTTCATCTCTTCTTTCAGCTATAAAAATGGGGTTCCTGTTAGGACTAGTGTGGAATTTTAATAGCACTGCATAGACGGCAATTATGTAACACATGGGCAAAACAACAGAGTTTCTCATCATTTAATAAACCCTTGAGATTTCCTTAGTTCCAGTTCTCTCACTGGCTAGATTTTATGGTCTGCTGGCTCCATCTGACCTTCAGAATACCCGAGTACATCCATAACAAAAGCGGGAAAACATTGCTAGAAACAAATGATATAGATTTGCATTTGATTTATTTGATGAACAAGATATAGTGAATATTTATGATACAGTGAAAAGAAGTTGCTCAGTGACTTGGTCTTTGTGAATAAATTTGCTTCAATCTATTCTTCTTGCAAAGGCAACAGCATTGAGATCTAAAAACAGAGTGGAACGCCTACGAACAAGGGTTTCCTCTTCACTTCAATGAAGAGGAGCTTCTCTTTCCTTTCCACAGCAGCCGGGCAGCCTTATAATGGATTAATCAAATTCCCTGTAACTTGTTAATTTATGTAAAAGGAAAATGATCAAATTACAGGGAAAGTAATTAATTATGATATTGTCACTTGCAGTCTCCAATAACAAAATGAACAGATTGGATGTGGGGATGGATCAAGTTTGGTGGTCTTCATATTCGTTGATGTGTATGTATTGTTTCTTTATTTAATTTACCAAATCTCTCTCGCTCACGCTCACACTCTCTCTCTTTCTCTCTCTCTCATTTAAAACAAGATTTGGATTTATTTTATTCTTGATTAGCTGTAAAATTATTCTACCTGATTATGGAAAATAATGCTTTCTTTCTTACCAAACTGGGATATCTTGTGGCTTGATATTCTGATTACTTAATTTATCGCTTCAATTAATTAGCATTTACCCTTACTTGCACTAACAATTTGTTCCTAACCAATAACAAAGCTTTGAAATATCCTTCATTCGCATGCAAAAAGAGCAATGGAAAGAGGAAAGTTATTATAGCTATGGAAGACCTATAAGCAAAATCTGACTGAAAATAATTTCAAAAATGTGATTAAAATTATTTGTTAGCTAATAACTGTTTTCTGTTGCATATTTTTATAAAAGAATAGGGGCCATTGCTGACCTTACATAACCTCATAGCACCATGGAATTTGGACTAAGAAAACGAACCAAATTAACTCTGCAAGTTAATTAATTTGGCTTCTGGTCAGAGAATATACGCTGACAATATTTTCACAATATTTGTTTTTGTGCTACAGGATGGGACAGCTTTCCATTGGCAGGAACTGTAAAGTGAAAGAACATAGAAAAAAGAATAACAGTCACAGAGAAGAGGAAATGAATTGAGCTCAAAATAATCAAGAGTAGATTAAGACTTTGATAAGGATATTGCTTTTCTTTCGTATTTTAATTATATTTAAAATATAATTATTTGGATTAGGATGATGGTTAAGCCCCTATTATTATTATTTTTTTCTTCTACTCAGCTGTATTCTTTTTCATTGATAATGTCTATTTTAACTGTAAGCAACTCAGAATCACTGTAGATTGAACTTGATATAATAATATATCTATATTTTGTCCTCCTATCCTTGGCCTTGAGTCCTTCTATTCCCCACCACCACCACCTTGCAGATGTTAATTCTTCTGCTCATACAGTCGGCTTTTTAGCTTGCTATTGGATCCTCTGCAGTTTTATATAATGGTATAAAGAGCTATTAGCACTTATTTTTGTATATTCATTCTGCAATCCTAACACAACATATCACAGATTTTTATATTGTAAAAATAGTTCCTTAGTTACTTTTTTACTAATGAGCTCAAGAAGCCAGTGGCATTCTTACCAAAATGCGATGATTTCAAAATATTTACATGTGTATGTAAATGCTGGCATTTTATATTTGTGCTTGATGTCTGCAGCAAGTAAACAAGGTATAGAATTTGCATAATAAAATAATGAATATGTCATAATTTGCCTTCTCTTGTCCTCCCAGCAGAAGATCCTTCAGAAACGTCTTGCAAAAAGTTATTAAATAAAATGAATAATAAAGTAAAATAATTCAAAACTAAATGAACAAAGCAATTACAAAACTTGTAGGAATGTATATAATGCTGGTATGTTCATATGAGGAAAGAAGAATTAATAAGGCATGATCCTTAGCATTACAGATATCTGAAGCATATTTCCATTTTCATCTACACTACATTGGTAAACCCACAACTGAATAAGAGTCATTGTTTTTCTACCATAATACAACTTTTTTTCTTGCCTATAAACTGTTCCAATACCTCACATATCTCTTTTGAAAATGAGGGTCAAAAGTACCAGAGAGTTTTCACAGTATAAAGAAATGCCAGTCTGGCTCTAGGTTATGCAACAATGCAGGTGGTTTATTTGTTTATAATTTAATAAGTGAAGAATAGTTTCTACTTCCATAATGTCTTATGGGCATTCTCTCGAGTCAAGAAAAAATGTCTGGTATGCAGTGAAGGAGTGGAAAGCAGCTGCTAAGCAAATTCCAAGAAACAGTTTTATACTAATCAGACCTTGAAACTGACCTGTGAACATTCATTGTATTTTAATGAATCAGTGGCCCAAAGCATTCCAAAGCATTGGTTATTGCAGACTAAGCCACCAATGGGAGAGTTCCTGTCCAGACTTGTATTCCCATAAATAGCAAGGCTCAGTGACCGAGTGAGAGAAAGGAAGCAAAGGTCAACAGCAAAAAGAAATTACACAGCCTGGATTCGTTTTGTTTGGAGGTTTCACCACTCACTAAACTGACATTACAAAACAGATATAAGCTACTTGTAGATTTCTCATTCTAAGAAGGGATTCTGACTAAATTTTGATGAAACGGTATCTTGCTCTTTGTTTGCACAAGGGCAAATCTCATATTATGAGATTAATTTATGTTAAAACGCAAGATCAGCTAGGTGGCAATCTACTTCTCAAATGTAAAAAGTGAAAGTAAATGTAAATGTAAAAAGTGAAAACAGGGACAGGCAAACATTGATTCAATCTTATTCTCGGTTTGGCTTTTCTTGCCCTACTTCAAATAAGATAAAGCTTTTTTTTCCCCTTACAAAAAAAAATCTCATTGTTTAACCGAAGGCTCTTACTGGATAAGAATGTTCCATGGGAATCATTAATACAGATGCTATAAAGATGTAGCATCTTTTCAAGACATTTTTCAGTCTTTCTCCCCATTTAGCTTTTAAAGTTACACACACAAAGAGATTATTGTTGTCTTTTTAGCCTCTACTATTTCTATCGGTTTATTAGTCTTTCAACATGAAGTTGAAGAAGCAGCACGGAAAGAATTTTGACACTTTTGAACTTTGGAGTTAGAGAAGATTTCTGAGAATACCATGAACAGGCAAGAAAACAAACAAATGCATCATCAAATAAATCGATCCAGAGTTCTGAGGCACAAGGGACTAGGCTCAAATTATCCTAGTTCAGATACATTATGGAAAGACTTAGCTCTCTGAAGAAAGTTCTAGTGCTGAGAAAGGTGGAAGGAAAGAGAAGAGAATAACCAAGAGCAGGGTGGATGGATTCCATTATTGTAGTGATGGGTACATTGGAAGACATGAAGGATCAGGTTAGGAGCACATGATAGTGGAGAAAACTAAAAGTCATTAAAACTCCAACCTGATGATGCATAAATCAAATTGATATAGTTTTAGTTACATACAATGTGAAGATGGTGGGGGAGTTTTTTAAAAAAATATATCCTTAGTAATAGATTTTAAATGGTCATACAATCTGATCTGTTTCATTTTATCTAGACAGATTTATAAATAAGCAGAATACACATTTATTTCTAAGCTACTTAGACACACATTGTTATAATTTATCTGCTGTTAATATCACAGTAGTATTGCAATAAAACATTTACTGATTAATCAGTATTTGCAACTTTTTCTCCTGCTTTGTATAAAATACTTTTTAAAATTATAAATTTTAGGAGACTTACAGTTTCTTCTAGGTTTTTAAGTTGTTGGTTGATTTCTTTAAGCCTGTTTTGTTGATCACGTTCTTCTTTAGTGTCTCTTAAGATCTTTTCACCTGGAATTTTCAGCTTTCTATTTGCATAAGCCAAGGATTCCTTTAAAAAGCAAATAATAATAAAAGTACTGAATTTTAAAAGAAAAAGAAATGATCTCGACCAATCCCTTGTTACTGAAGCATGGTCCCCATATATTAAATACCTTCTACAAATTAGCCTGAGTTCCAGTTCAATTATGTGTGCTAAGTAAAATTCATTTGTAAGTCTGGCATTAGCTAAAATTTGAGTTTAGTTACAATATAATTAGCATATATATAATGCTTCTGAAAATGTAAAATTGTCCCATTTCTGTTCCAAAATAAAGCAAAATTGGTCATGCCAGCAATGATAAAATAATTTAAACCGCTAATTAGAATAAGCTGTTTTCTAAAATACTAATTAAAGTATGGACTTTTCTTAGCAAAATTAGAACTTATGCATCAGTCAGATTTTCAAAAAAGTTTCAAATCTGTTTACACAGTGAGCTTAACTGGGGCAGGGGAATGGTATTAATTGTGTTATGTAAGCAATCTAATATAATAAATTGCTCACAACAACCCCCCAAAGCCAGACTTTATCCCCAAATAGCCCCATGGTAATGTGGAGCTAAAGCAATCCCCTTTTGCTAATAGTACTGTGCAAAGTATCTACTGAAAAGGTTACCTATCCTTTCCTGTTTCCAAAAATAAGATCCTACCTATAGCAACTCTGTGAAATCAGCTTCTCAGTTTGTCTGTTTCAAAGTAAATTGATAGTGCAGTTGAACCAGTCCTACCAAACATTACTGGTATAAAGAAGCAATAGCTATTTCTCACTTTAAAAGTGTAGACTTTTGAATTAGAAAATCAATACTTTAATTAGAAAAATCATGCTGGTAAATGTATTTTACAGGAAAAACACTAAAGAAGTAGAAAAAAAGATATCAGCCCAACAAAGCCCATTTTTAAGTACAAGATCAAATATAAAATAAAGGCTTAGCAGCTTTACTTAGAATTTCATTGGGGAGTTATTTGTAATTAGTGTTTCCCACAGCACCTGTCTAAAAAGGATTATTACATATGTACATTCAGAATTACTGCAAGCTGTGATCTATGTATACACATTCGATAATCTGTTTACACTTCGTTCGTCCTATATTTCAAAAAAATGTGTGAAATGAACCTATTCTTATCTGCTGCTTATCAGGATTAGAAAATTGAACAAGCGACAAGAATAATATTCTTCATCATTGGAATGAAAGTTTCAACAAAGTTCAGCTTTTTACTCCCCCCCCCCACTTGTTGCTATGACATCATTTATTTCTTAAATAAATATTTGGCAAATATGAATGATCAAAGATAATCTCTGGCTACACAATATGAAGATGAATGGCTTTTCAAAATTTGCCAAAAAACACACAGTTCAAATCTTAACTAATACTGTACATTTCTTACATAAGACATATGTTTCTTCCAATATTATGTAGTTTAAGCCAAACCATTGAATAGAATTTAAAATATTTAGAGTTCATGAACCACAGGAAAATTGTTAGTAGTGTTTCTAGAACACAATCAGCAGGTATGCCAGTTAAACCAATGTTTTTCCAACTGTCTAGATTTATTGTTATTAGCTTGTTGAAATAATGAATGGATATACAAAACATATCATATGAAGCCAAGACTTATTGGACCTGGTTTGGAAGCCATAATTCATTGAGCCTGGATTAAATAAATCACAATCAGATGGATTCACCCAACATAATTCATTACTCATTCATTTGTAAACAGGTTCACTCTCAAATCAGAGTGGTCCTCAGAGGTATCTGCAGGAGGCAAGGGTCAGGGGCAACTAACAAAAGCAGTGTTGTACTATATCACAATGCAAGCTCTTTAAGCACACAATGGTATTGAAGATTAAGTTCACAGAACACTGTCTTCTATATATTTCCTACGACAAAGTAACTTTTGAGATTGTACAAAACCAAAATCCTTGGCAAGAGTTATAAAGGCATCCCCAGGAAATTATGGTTCATCAGTGGATATTTTTGCTGCTGCTCCCTCACAAAAACAAAAAACAAAAAAACTGTTGCGGGGTGTCTGAGCCTGCATTGAATGAATCAAAAATCAAGTAATATTTTTAAAAATAATTAGTAGCATACTTATTCCTGAATTTCTGTCTCAATTTTTTACATTTAACTTAGCTGAAAACTGTTTTTATAAAATGGTCGTTCTATGTACAATCTTCCTAAGCAGTTCAAGACAGAAATTTGTCTTCAGTTCTGGGGGGCTTCTCCTGCCATGCTGGGTATCTGTCTCTCCAGTGACTTGGAGACTGAAGTGATTTGGAGCATTGATTGTCTGCTGTTCAAATATCACAAAGAATCTAAGTAATGTCCTTTCTGACTAACAAACCCTATTAAAAGGCATTAACTTTTGTGAGATGAAGCTCATTCCATGAGACTGTGTTACTATCACAACTCTATCCACTCATGTTGGAAACAGCGACAATCCAACAATGGTGGTAGAAGTGATTGAGTGACTATGCCATTTATATCAGTAGTTACTCTGGGTAAGTTTGGTGCAATACTTTCTCTGGCTCTGAGAAAGTACCCTGACCAGGCTGCTTCTTCCCTCAGGGAGTCAGAATTTTAACTGCAGTTCTTGCCTGCCTGCCTGACTGCTCTGCGACTCTTCCAGCTGCTCAGAAAAATTGAGATCACTGTCAAATTCCTCACAAAATCCGTCGGGGGATCTTGATCCATGATTTGAAAATCTCAGACATAATGCTTCACCCAAAAAAGAAAAGCATTACAATCTCCTGAATTCTTTTAAGGACCAGATTGGAATATTCCCATGTCCCAAACTGCTTGCTTCCACCCTTTTTGCTGATTTTGTTGGGTTCCACCAATCCTAATTCTGTAAGAACAGTTGCCTACACTCTTGGTTTTATTAGGAAATACAGAGTATTGAGAAGAAATATGTATTTTTTCTGTGCTTCTGGGTTATAATGGCACTTCAAAAGAGAAGTGACGTAGCTAGGAAGCTAAAGCAGCAAACAGAAAGAGAATTTCATCTGGAGAATGGGAGGAAAGGAATCAAAATATTCACAGCAGCTGGGAAAAGAACTCTAATTATTTTGGACTGGACAGAATTAACAAAAAGATCTGGAGACGGAAAATTGAAGAATCCCTCCAATTTTTAGAAATGAAGTGCCTTGGGTGGGGTGGGTGGGGAGAACTAAGAAAGATTATTGGTATCTGCTGATCATTAGTTATATATATATTTTTTTTTTTAAAGAACCAGCTAAAAGTGGTTGAAGAATACAACTCTCAGACTTCCCAGTCCCCAATTACATTTCCTTAATAAATCTTTAAGAGAAACATCTGACTGAATCTATTACAGAATGTATATCAATTAAAAAAGAGATTAAATGCCAATATTGTCAAAAGAATAATAATTTTTAAAAGTATAATATTGCCACAACAAGGCTTCCTCTAACTATTCTGTACCTGATAAATCTTATTGGAGGCTTTTGAACAGGAGCCCTGAAATACAGACAGATCTCCATCAGATATTACTATTTTGAGTTTAGCATCAATTTCTGCAAGGTGATAATATTCCATTGGTTCGGGTGTATATCCTTCACCTGGTACAAATATTCCAATTGCTTCTTCCTATTAAAGTAAAATGAAATAATTATTTCCCCCTCAAATTACATGATTAGAAAAAATAGATTATAGATTATATAAAAATGCATGTCATACTGTATCTACAGACTGAGAAGTTAGTTTACTTTTATATGCATAGCTACTATGTAAGAAGTCTTTTCTTTATACTTTTTTCTTTGTTTCTTTTTCTTGCACTTTTGGCTTTGTCGTTTTCCTATTTCATTTATTTTTTTCTTCTCTTTATTCTAAACATTTGTTCTTGTTAGCATTTACCTTTTTCCTTCAAATTTTTAATAAAGTTATATGAAAATGAATATGTATTTCTGTTGACAATGCATATTCTAAATCACAGCATGCATTTCCGTTATCTGTTAAAGTCATAGGCACTTTAAATGCATTGTAGTTTTTGAAACATGGAAGCCTGTTATGTCCTCTAGTGAGTTCTTAGAATTGTTTTAAATATTAATTTTAAAAAAGTCTCCAATGCCATATTTCCAAGTTACAAGTGCACCCTCTACTGGCATGTATAAATACAGAAGGAAGACAATGCTTGAATTTACAGTAGGCAGAATTTTTCAATATAGTATGTTGGAAAATCCTGTGATAATTAGGTTGCTGATTTATTTACGGAAATAATTTATATGCTAGCCTTCCAAATAAGTTTCCATGTGATACTTTGAAAGCATACTTCGAATGACCCAGATTACTCAGGAAATGCAACGTAACTTCAGCTGGAAACAGCGGTTGCATCTGCACAAACCTAAATTGTTGAAGTGATGATTCTAAAAGAAATGCTTGGACCATCAACGCCATGTAGGAATCCAATATCACATCTGCCACAAGAGCATTCAGGCAATTATGTCTATAGAACAGGATGTATAACTTTTTTGATAATGATCTGTCAATAGGTGAACGCAATAAAGAAACTACTTGGAAGTAACTCTACATGTCAGTGTTGGTTCCTTTGACCTTACATTAATCTTGCCAGACTCAAGACAACAGTCTGCATATCTGCATACTAGATATACTTTGTGAATTACTACGGAAGGTCCACCTTCGCCCTTTTCCTACATACCAGAGACTCCAAGCTTTTCTATCTCTTTGCTTCCTTCCTCCTGTGACTCTGGACTACATTCTGCCACAGATATATCCACTGACTGGGATGGATTCTATCACTCACACACACACACACTGGATCACGTTCATAATCAATGGCAGATTTATCTAAGCAACTTGTACTGGAATGAGTCTCTGGCTTATGTTCCATAAAAGATGCACCTCAACTCCAGCTTCACTTAAGTTGTAATGGAAGCCAGATGCCATCCATCCTTAGGTCCTCTCTCATAACCAACAGTAATGTTAGTAGGTTCCATCCTCCTGGCTCTGAGGCTCTAAGTAGGCCTCCACATAGATGGAGGTGCCGTGGATGACAAAAGTTGAGGTATAGAATTTTTCCCTGCTTCATGCCATTTCCCACAAAAACTCAGAAGCTAGGATACTGTTACTCTTTAATTATAACTTGCTTGTTACAGGAAAGTTGGATTTTATCTGAACAGAACTACATAAGGCAGGTAAATGCAAAGGTGCATGATTACATGTATACTGCTGTACTTTGTGTTTTAGCACTGGATACTAGGAGCATGAAATTTAAACAGTACCAATATAACACTGTTTTGAGCTGGTTTGTTGAGTTTATAAATACAATGTATCCATGCTTTTGTATTGTGCTGATGTTAAATTTCAGGATGCCTTTAAATGTGAAAAAGATTTATATTGTTTCCAACGGGTGGAACATACTTTGATTTTTATTCTGACAGAAGAAGGAAAACAAATTAAAGTTTTATTCCTTTGCAACACAGTAGATTTGGAACATTCATTGCAAACTACTTTGCTCCAAACTCAAAACAAAATACACTTCCATTTTCTTTAATCCCTACAATCTCCTGAGGTAATTTGAAAGAGAATAAATGACCCGAAATCACATAATGAATTTCATGATCAATTGGAGACTTGAACTTGGACCACCAATCCTGGGCTAGTACTTTCTCCACAATACCACATTAGTTTTTCTCATTGCAACAGAAGCAGGGGTGGGATGCTACCGGTTCTGCCCCGCTCTATAGAACCGGTAGCTCTGAAGAGCAGCAGACACAGAACCGGTTCTGTGTTTGCTGCTGTTTGGCCAACCCGCCCGCCTGGGCTCTTACCTGTCCTTTATTTCCTGCTTTTTTAACCTCAGCTGCTTTGCGTGGCACAGCTGAGATTGAAAAACCAGGGGAAAAAGTGGCTTTTCAAACGCTGTGCGCAGCACTTTTCAGCTGTCTGGGCAGCACAGCTTAAGGTTTTTTACACACGCGCGCAGCAAAACGTAATCACTGAACACCGGTTGAATCCCACCTCTGAACAGAAGCACTACAGTGAATTATTTCAGTTGCCCAGAGCTTGTGTTGAAAAAGTGCTTTGAAACAATATTATTAATTCATACCTCATTTTGAAGTTTATTACTATCATTTTCTGTATCTTTCAGTAATTCAGATAGTCTCTCTCTCTCTTCATCCAGCATAACTTCACTTGACGAATCTTTGGCCAGCTACATAAAGAGGAAAGCAATTTGGAAATTGATAGTTTTGAGAAATCAATAATAATCTTTTGAAAATCAGTAAGGATTAGACTTGTGCATGCTTCAGAAAGAATATGGATGGAAGATGTGCTTTGAATCTTACACATCTCTCTGCTAATTCAATAAACCAACAAGCTTTCTGACCAAGACAGAAGAAAGGGGCTACAACTTTAAGGGGTGATTCCTTAAACAGTAGCAACTTTTTTGCAGGTTCACCTGGAAGTGGGGAAAAACAGGATACATACACTAAAATGTATTCTATTGTAGAGGTGCTGCACCTTGGTTCAAAAATGATTTCTTCCAAATCATTTTGGAACCAAGCACATTCTGAATAAAGAAGGAAGAGGACTAGCTGTGCATGTAAAACACATGTAATCCTAGATTAGCAACTTCATTTGGGACTCCCACATTGGTCACTAAATGAAGCAGTTGCTAAGTGGAAAATCACATGATCATGACTGAGCTTCCTGTCAAAGCTGACAAGAGTAACCAGTTTCACACCTTAGCTTTTGTTTGCCTCCTAACTGATCTCCCACCTTATAAAATGTTTGCTGCAGTGCTGGATAATAAACAAGAAGGGAATTAATATTTGTGTTTACATTCATTGGAGAGAAAGAGTTTAGAAAAGAATAACCACATCCAAAGTGTTGTGAATGAATAAAGTAAATAAGCCCAAATGCAAAGTAGGTTTTGGAAGCCTGCACATTTGATTGGTCCTTGAACAGCGAACAAGGATTGGTTCATAAAAGCCCCTGATTGGCCAAACTTAGGACACTTCCTATTGGTTATTGGTTTGGACCTTATGCACTTATTATTGGTTAATAGGGTAGCAGCCAACCCTATAAAAGGGTTACTGCTGCCCATAGCCTTGCTCTGTTCTGTTCTATTTACTGTTAATAAAGAGTTGAAGTCACTGGTCAGATGTCTGGTCTCCATTACTCTCCAAACTTAACACAAAGCAATGTGTTGATGTCAGCAGCAAACAGCCTGTGTATTCACCATTGTGTGCCTGTTTACTGCACTGTCCTCCAATCCCATCACCAGCAATCTCTCTGTTCTGCTGGGGGATAGGGGGCAGAGTAGAGACTGCCTACAGGAATCACTTGGCAGGGCTCTTTTTTCTGAGGGCAGTGAGGGAAGAAGAGGGGACTCAGTTGGCACATGAGAGGGAAAAGGAGACAGAAAAGCACTGGAATGACTGGTGGCCATCAATTATTTTCCAAATGGGACACTGTGCCATGATGGTGCTCGGGGTTAGAAGAGAATAAACAGGCATACAATGGCTGCTGAATACCTCAATGTTCCCGAGAGTTTTATCAGCATATTACTTTTCATGTCTACTCCCCATTGTGTGCCTGCTTACTCTTTTCTAATCTCTTCTTCTCCAGTCTCCCCGTTCTGCAAGGTAGGGAAAAAAAAGAAAAACAACAAGTCAGTCGCAGGACAATGTATATTAATTGTAGCAGAGATCACATGAATGAGGGAGGCTGAGAATGTCATAAATGGTCATAAATTGGTCATAAAGTTATTTTTAGCACTGTTGTAACTTCGAATGGTTGCTGAATGAGTGGTCGATATGGTGCACTATCTTTACTGTACAATATTGTCACTTAAGTTGGCACTGCATGTGCCAGATGCTACATAAATTCCATAGAAATCTTTTGACAGTTCCACCACATCATTCATAGCTTTTAGTTATAATGAATTTTGTAAACATTCTTATCAATAAATGTCACAGGCACAGCCTAAGAACAAGAAATAGGAATATGCAATTAACAGAGGACATTCCACTGTGTAGATATAATTACATGGTGGTTTAAAGCATTCTATTTTTCCAGCAAAACCTGATACTGAAAATAATTAGAATCCAATCATTAATCTCATATATTTCAGGAAAACTGCAGAAAAATTTTAATAAGATGATTTTCTAAATTAGTAACAAGATAAATGTCATGGCCCCATCGGAACTTGGGTCCGAGGAGAAGGACGAGACAGAGCTAGAGCTGATGGAGGAATGACCAGAGGAGCAGAATGAAGCAGTCCTAGGTCCTTCAGGCCTGGGAAGGGTCGCCAGCGAAGGAGAGAGGCTGCAGGATGACCAAGCAAAGGGGGAGGAGAGGGCAGGCAGCAGAGCAGAGGAGCGAAGGAGCTCTAGCAACGAGCAATTACCTTCCCCCTAATCCCCAAGCCATGGAGAATGGAGAGGAGGTGGGATCTGTGCAGGCCGACCGGAGAACTCGGGAGGAGGGCACCCCGCCCCTCTTCACAAGGCTTATTTGAGGAATGAGATTTAAAGAGACACTGTTTGGAGGAGTACTTGTTGAGAACAAGTGTTGCCTTTTTCCAGTTTCATGTGCTGTTATCAACGTCTGGATATTTTGCTTGTCATGCCCTGTTTGCCTTGCCCTGCTTGCCTGGCCTGGCTATGTGTGAGTTTGCAGCAACCCAGTTCTGCTCCGGGTTGTGCTGCAGTCCCAGTGAATTCTTCTTGGGACGAGGACTCCTTGGAACTAAATTCCTTGAACTGTGGCTGCTCTCAGAACTGTGCTGCTCCTCTGGACTAACAGCAGCCAAGAACTAATGGAGGTGCGTGTTTATAGCTTTGTTCCTGAACTTGCTGTGAATGGTGGGACTTTTGGAGGAAAGTTGGAGTGATAAAGGGGAGTTAATCCTTCATTTCGGCTATGTTGCTTCCATGCCCAGCCCCAGGCCATCACAATAAAGCTTAACAAAGAATTCTAATCTTATGTTTAAATACATACCTCTATATTCTTTTTAATAAAGTTTGGGGTTTTTTTAAAGCTTGCTGTATTTTTGGGGCAAGTGTTTTCCATTTTCTTCATTGAACTTCTTGTTACACTATCGGCTGAATCACCTTCAGGTACTGAAAGAGAAAAAGAATTATTGAGGAAACAAATAATAAAGAAAAAATTAGCCATCTCAATTAAATTTTGGAATTGCGTTTCACTATTTTATGTACAAGTTTTTATTTTGTTACTATATTGTAGATTGTAAACTATGTTTCAATATTATCCCTAACAAAATATTACACGCTTTACCGCAAACTTATTAATAACACTAATTAAGAACAAATTGCAGACAAAAGAAAACTAATATGAAATGCAAAGCCACGCCAACCATTCTCAAATCCAAAATGCATTTTTCTGTGAATGGAAGTGAACATGAAACTGAAACTTTTGATCTCACATCATGTGTAATAAAATGTGAGGGAAGGCTCATACAAAACAATTCTTAGGAAAACGTAGTTTTTACGGTATTACATCTAAATATCTCCAATGCTGGGCCAATATTTAGGCAAAAAATGCTTCTATTTTATGCAGCCCATATAATAATAATAATCAAAATAATAATAATCAAAATAATCAAAAAGAATGCTTTCACATATTTGTTATTCTTTTAAAATTATATCTGGATTGTATTGTACCTTGCTTTGTTTGTCTTCCGTTAGTCTCATAATTTTCTGGAGGAAGCTGAGTTTTAAATATGTTAAATGTTTCATTATCTTCGCAAGCAGAAAGATCTGTTAATGAAACAGAATGTGAAATAAGATGATTTCTATTAAGGATGTGAGGGATCACTTTGGATCTAAACTGATCTAAAGAGGCTGCTGGATTGGGTCCTTCAGCAACTGTGTTAGGCTGAACTAAATTAGCTACAGTAATCACTTTCCCTATATTTTCAAGGTGAATTTAAAAATAACAGACATACTTGGTCAGGAAAGCCTACGCTCTGGTATACCATCCAGTCCTGACTGATATGAGTTGTAGGAGTTTTGAATTAGAGGACAAATTACCTTTTTGCTATAATATATCAAATAAGAGGGCTAAACAACCTTTTGACGACCAAAAACTGCACTCAATGTTTAGGAGATGCTATGAACCACAGTGATAACCACAGTGCAAACTGGGTGGACTTTTAAAAATATGTGAAGAACATATTCTACAAATGTTATGTTTTCTGCTCAAAATGGAAAGCAACAAAGCCACCAATTTTTATCAATCACATTCAGAGGAGGTTCTGAAAGCTGTTACAAAGGATTCAAAGGCTGCAGGTTGCTAACCCTACATTAGAATTAATACCAAAAATTTTATTTTTTAATTCTTACCAGGAGTTCCAGATAATGGTGAGTTTAAAGCTAAAAATCTGCTAGTGTTTTCTTCCTCTTCAGTAATTATTGAAGAACTTCGAGATGTCATAGACTGCATTCAGGTAGTAAAAGGATATATATACATATAAGGAAGGATAAGTAGACATTCCAGAATATTTATGCATACTGCTAAACTTTTCCTTAAGTTTCTAAAGGGCACAACTGCAGGTTTTACCACTTTGTTTTTATCCCCATGATTTACACACACTTTTATCATTGGGCTATGTATGTACCCAACAAAATTTCTTTGGAATTTGCAGCTTTTAGCAACAGATTAAAAAAGTTATAAGCAAGGATTTGAGCAGAGTATTTTCAGAAAATACTACATGATATGCATATGTCGTAGGAACTCTAAGACATAATAAATTCATATAAATTTAGCACAAAAATATTTTTACTAAGAGATTTTAATGTTCAGTTCTTTATCAATTCATGAAAAATATCCGTAATTTATCAAAGTAGATGAATGTCTATCAGGCCATATCTACAGACTTACTAAATTAATCAATAGCTAGCTTAATTGAGCAGAAAATTAGCACACAAGTCAAATACATACATAATAGATAACTGATTTTTATATGCCAAAAAGCAATTCAAATGTAAATAAACATAGCCATTCATCATCATATATAAATTGTGGTTCATAGAAGTATTCTGGAATTGATCTTGTATTTCTAACCTGAAATTCTTCCCATAGTTTTGCTCTCAATTCTCTGCCTTGCTTTTTGACTGCTCTTTCCTGGGATTGTTTATTTGCCAATATCTGGTCCAACCTTTTCATCTTCTTTATTGCTTTCAGGATGAGAAGATCTACACCTTTCTCCTTAGAATCATCCAGGTTTGCAGACCTGGATGTCACTTAAATATAAAACTGACTATTAAAATCAAATCATCTTTCCATCAAAAATATTCTTAATAGCATTTCAAATTGATCTACTAAAATGTCATCAAATGAAGAATATTATTCAGTAATCCACTAGGAATACAATAACAATGCTACAATATTTCAAAGAAAATATTTTTTGGACTTATATTGGACTTCCGGTTTGTCGGCTTCGCAAGCGGCAGGGATTCGCGATACTGCGCGATCCCTGCTGCGCTAGCCGTTTTTGGTGCTCCAATCCGGACGGGTTTGGAGCTAAGGCTGCCCTGCAGGGGTGGCTGAAGATAGGGGGGACCCGGAGAGGGGTTTGGGGGTGTTGCAGACCCCCTTCCCGGCCGGCAGAACCCCCTTTTCCCAAGACGGTGCAGCGGCGGTCTGCAATGGCCGCCACAAAGAAGCTGGCAGCTGGGTAAGAATGCGCAGGAGGAAGAGGAGAAAGCCTTTGAAAAGAGAAAGTTTTTCTTGGTTCCCAGGACTCTAAGACATATTTAACAAAATTCCTGGAAATTATGGCTTTTTGAATGATACCTTCCAGAAGAGAAAATAAGCGGCAATTTGGAGGTGCTGAAAGGAAAGTTTACTCTCCTTCCCTACGGAATTAACAAGTGGATATTAAGAAACCTATCTTTTTCAGGTAAAAACTGGCTTTAAGTGATAAGTGGGAAGGGAGAGGACTAAAAAAATATTTATATGCTAAGATTTTGTTGGAGGAGATGCCTTAAGGATTTGAAGACTGAAATATATTGCAATAAGGCTTTAAGATACAGATTTGGACTTTCTTTTTTTTTGATTGATACTACCCCAGGAAGAGAAAGTGAGAACTTTGCCTTGGCTTGGATTGATTGATGACTTTGGGACTGTTCTATTTTTTTTGAAATATCTTGGTTGTTGCAAGAAGAAAGAAGGGGGGAAAAAAAGAAAAGAAAAGATTTATAATGGCTTTTTCTGTTGAGGAACTGAGAAAAGAATATGAGCAAAAAAATAATAATGGCAAAGATGGTGTGAAAGAAGCCTTCCTTTTTTTAGAAATGGCGCTTGCTAACTATCAACAAACATTACAACAGATGGAGACAGCAGAAGAAGAAGAAGGAGAGGAAGAAGCCATCTTTAATGAATTTCAGAATTTAACTAAGAAAGAAGGAAGAGGGAAAGGAAGGAAAATGAAGGACTTAAGATTTAAAAAAACACTTAAGAAAGGGAAAAATAAGGTGCAAAATCAATATAATGATAGTAAACAAAAGGAAAAAGGAACACAACAGAGAAGGGAAGCCAGTAAGGCAGAGGCTAGAAGAAGGGGGGGTAGAAAGGTCTGGTGGGGGAAGAAAGGAAGGGAAAAGGTGGAGAAAAGCCACAAAGTTTTGAAACTAGATGGGAAAAAAGGAATCTTTTTTAGGGACAAAGGGTAAAGTATAATTTCTTTAAAAAAGATTTTGCAAGGTACATAAGATGATATTGTAGCATTGTATTAGAAATAGAAAACTAAAATGGTTTAAGAGTTAATAAGAGATTAAAATGCTGAAATGTTTAGTAATGATTGATTTTAAAATTTAATAATATTAAAGGGAAGGTTTAGAATATTGAGTTTTAATTAAAGAGTTTAATAAGATTATGGTATTGATGTTATTATAAATTTTTTATTGTAGCATTTGTTTTTGGAAAAGGCAATGGGAATGTTATAAGATTCAATATTTAGATCTACTGCTTAACTATGTATTTAATCATTTTGGATTTATTATTTTTTGTTTATTTTAGAAAAAAATATATTAGTAGATAGAATGTACCAAGCAGAATCGGATTGGGTATTGGGTGTTATTTTAAATGTTAATTTGATTAATTTAGGGGGGAGATAGAAAGGCATCATACTCTGATTAGTGATTTCCGGAGAAATTTTTTTTTTATTATTATTATTATAAGGAACGAGACAAAGGGACAATAAAGAATGGACAAAAGATACAAATATAATGACTCAAATTAAGATGGATTAATTAAGATAGAATTAAGAAGAGTGAAATGTGTGGAGAAGCTAATATAGAAGACTTAGAATGGTAAATAAAATAAGTAATGACATGTAAGATGAGCATGAATATAATTGAAGTCCATGAAGAGAGAGATACCTGGGGCCAAGTTACTTTCCTAAAAGATTTTTTTTTATGTTTTGTGTGTTGTGTGTTTATGTTTCTGGGAGAATTAACAAAACCTTGCAGAAATATAGAATGAGAATAATGGTAACCAAGTCAGAAAGAAATAGATGAAATAATAATAATGAAATTGAATAAGAGTAAAGAGAAGTAAAGAGAAACTGGATAAGAGGTATTTGTATGCTCATATGGAAATGGTTTAAAATAGAATTATATTGTATAAAATAAGGTTTTATTTGACTTGTTAAATTTATAATGGAAAAAGGTTTAAGTATGTAATGGTTAATGATGATTTGTTTGTTTTTAAAAATTAATAAAACTTGTTTTTAAAAAAATAAAAATAAAATATTTCAAAGAAAATATTGCTCTTCATTAATGAAGCTGAAAATTGTTTCAAAACTATTGTTGCTAATACAAATATTTATGAAATAAACGGATGTCCATCCCTAGACAGAGAAGTGATACAGCGGCAATGCAGGCCAAATGCCTGGAAGCTGTAAGGGCCTGGATGGGGAGGAACCGGCTTCGATTCAACCCTGGCAAGACTGAATGGCTATGGGTTTTTAGCCCCCAGGACCAGATTATTCTCTATCTTTGACTCTGGACAGGGTGGCACTTCCTTGGAGTGTGTGAATTGGGGTGCAATTTGGGGTTCCTTCTAAAGTCATGCTCCAGCTTGAGGAGCAGGTGGCAACTGAGGGCAGGAGCCTTTGCACGGATTCATCCAGTGCACCAATCACACCTTTTTCCTGGCCTGGAAGTCCTTGCTCAGTCAACCATGCACTGGTCATCTCTTAGTTGATTATACCCGAAGGAATTTATGCTGCAATACGTTCTACATGGGGCTGTTCTTTTTTTTTTTTTTTTAAACAAGTTTTATTAAAAATTTCAACAACAAACAAATCATTACATATTTAAATCTTTTCCTGTCTTTCTACAAAAATTCCCCCAATATTCTCATAAAACACAAACACAAACAAACATAAAAAAATCTTTTAGTAAAGTACCTTGGCCCCAGTTACCTCTCTTTGCATGGGCAGCGCATATCACTCTTCACAATTCTATCTTATTTAATCCATCTTAATTAAATCATTAAATTTATATCTTTTGCCCATTCATTATCCCTCTATCTCTTCTTATAATAAAAAGAATTTCTCCTGAAATCACTAATCAGAGTATGATGCCTTTCTATCCTCCCCCTAAGTTAGTAAAATTAACATTCAACATAACAAATACCCAATTCGGTTCTGCTTGGTACATTCTATCCACCAAAAATGTTTAAATACATTGTATCCTCCTTTCCTTCAATATTTTATTACATTTTAAAAATCAATCATTATTAAAAACTTCAACATTTTAATTTCTTATTAAATCTTAAACCATTCTAATTTACTATTTCAAATATAAATGTTACAATACCATCTTCTGTACCTAGCAGAATCTTTCTTACAGAAGTTTATATTTCATCCTTTGTCCCTAAAAAAAATTCCTCTTCTCCCATCCAATTTTAAAACTTTGAGGCTTTTCTCCGCCTTTCCCCTTTCTTTTTTCCCCCACCAAATCTTCCTACTCCCCCTTCTTCTTCTAACCTCTGCCTTGCTGGGATCCCTTCTCTGTTGTGTTCCCTTTTTCTCTTGTTTGCTATCATTATATTTACTTTGCATCATATTTTTCTCTTTCTCAAATGTTTTTTTAGATCTTAAGTCCTTCATTTTCCTTGCTCTCTTCCTTCCTTCTTCCTTAGATAAGTTTTGGGATTCGATAAAGATGGCGTCTTCGTCTTTTCCTTGTTGTTGTTCTTCTGGAACAACTTCTATTTCCATCTGTTCCATTGTCTGTTGGTAATTGACCAGCGCCATTTCTAGAAATAGAAAAGCTTTTTCCATACCATCTTTGCAGGCTGCTTTTGTTTGCTCATATTCATCCCTCAGGTCTTCAAAAGTGAAAGCCATTATAAATAAATCTTTTCTTTTCTTTATTCCTCTTTCTTCTTACACCAACCAAATATTCCGAGAGAAAGGTAAAACAATCCCAAAATCCACAATCCTCAATAAATCCAAGCAAGCCAAAATTCCCCCTTCCTCTTCCAGGGGTGGTATCAAACAAATAAAAAAAAGAGTCCAAATCTATATTTTAAAGCCTTATTAAAATTATATTTCTGTCCTCAAATCTTCAAGGCATCTCCTCCAACAAGATCCAAATTTATATATTTTCTTTATCCTCTCCCTTCCGGCTTAATTCCGTCGGGAGGGAGAGTAAACTTTCCTTTCAGCACCTCAAAATAGCCGCTTTTTTTCTCTTGTGGAAAAAATCATCAAAAAACCATCTTTTCCAGGAATTAAATTAGATAAATCTCAAAGCCCTGGGTCGACCAAGAAGAACTTTCACTTTCAATAACTTTCTCTTCTTCCTCCTGCGCATACTTGCCCGGCTGCCGACTTCTTTGTGGCGGCCATTACGGACCGCCGCTGCACCGTCCTGGTAAAAGGGGGTTCTGCCGGCCAGGGAGGGGGTCTGCAACACCCCCAGACCCTTCCTCCGGATCCCCCTTACCTTCAGCTACCCCTGCAGGGCAGCCTTGCTCCGCACCCGTCCGGGTCGGAGCCCCAAAACGGCTAGCGCGGCAGGGATCGCGCAGCTTCGCGAATCCCTACCGCTCGCGAAGCCGACAAACCGGAAAAACCTACATGGGGCTGTTCTTGAAGACCACCCAGAAACTTCAACTGATCCAGAACAAGGCAACACACACAGTAATAGAGATGCCTAGGTCTGAGAGCCCCATAGGCTTCCCATTTCTTCCTGCTTGCAACTCAAGCTACTAGTCATCACCTTTAAAGTCCTACATGGCACAGGGTCAAGCCACTTGAAAAACCATTTTTCCTTAAGGCCATGCTAGATGGGGTGGGCACATTCCTGATTCCTTCCCACAAATGTTATATGATGGGCAGCATGCCTTTCCATGATGGTCTCTGCCCCATGAAACATCTTGCCCCCTGAAATTCAGCAGACTCCCACCCTTTTAGCCTTCTGTAAAGTCTTATAGACCTGGTTTTCCCCCAAATGCTTGGACTGATGACATGTTTTTGTTTTTATTGTTTTTTTTAAATGTTTTATGTTTTAATTTTCAAATTTTAATGTTAAGTAGTGTATTGTACAATTTTTAAAGGATTTTATTGAGAGCCGCCCAGAGTTATCTGAAGGATATAAATGTTATAAATAAACAAGCAAACACATAAATAAATACTAGAATTTTCTCCATCTTTTCCTGTTTTATATGTGTTTAATCATTTAAATTATTATCCTGATAGAAAGCTCAGAAACAGATAACTTTATTGCAATCATTAAAAAGTAGAAGGGAATTGGTATTCAAGTATCCAAACTAACAATATCAGGATATGCAGGAAAATAGAAAGCTCAAATGTGCCATAGGATCTGAAGCTTTCATCAAAATGACAAAACAGCATCATAGCACCACAATACAACCTCCATTCCTTTTGTACAGGTGTGCACCATCATGACATACATTAAAAATTGCTTTAAAAGACTTGTACTTACACTATTTTATAATTTGCATTTCCTTCCCATTACAATTATTAATGCTTATAAACTAAGATGGCTTTCTAACCCTAACTATAAGACAGAGTACAAAATTTAAATACCTTTTTGTGGTTCAACTGGCTTATTCTGAGAAGCACTGCTGCAAGAGAGTTTATTTTCAGCAAAGTCATCTTCAGAATCTACTGAACTTGAAGAATATTCTGGAAAAAGAGAAACAGTGCATAGAAGTGCTACTTAAAAGTGTTATTAAAGAAACAAACCAACTGTAAAAGAGAATTACTCCAAGGTGGTTGCAATCTGGAACAAACGATTTAGTCTTATGTTCAGTCCACTGACCCTAATTTTGTGAAATATTTATATATGTTCTTTAATGAGTTTAACGTTTCTATTTCTATATTCATTGTTCCTTATTTTTCCATATTGTCCTAAAATTTTATAAAGATCCAAGGACAGTTGGATTGCTCTTCTTTACTGGCAAACTCTTGGTTTCTTAACAGGCAAACAGAAATTCAGCAACTGAAATTATCTTAGTATGTAACTGCTATAGTAAGCAAACCTATACAACTGTTCAATGACACAGTCAAAGCCTAGACATAAGCATTAATTTGGCCAGTTAAATGTACTTTTATTCTTGTTTATAAAGTCGTGTAATTCACCTGAACCTCGTTTTTATTAAAGTTCTTAAGTACAGTAGTTAAAAAGCAACATAAACTAGAGTTTCCAATTCTTTAAGTTCCTACACTTTTTCTTTTGCTCAAGAAGAAAAGTAAATTCACTAGATGGCTTTTCAAATTTGTCATTTGAAGATCTCTAACAGCCTTAGAATAGTAAATAAGTCATTTCCAAAAATAATTAGAAAGAGAAGTTTGAAAACTCAGTATCCTCAGGCTCCACTACAGATGTGAGCATGCTGGCTAATTTTTTGACCACTCAGCTCTTTAGACCTACAGAAAACTGCTATCCTGCACTGTCTACATGTGGAACAATCATCCACAGCACCTGTAAGTCATCCCCCACCCCTCACTATTTGGAAAAGTTCTGAGGAACCAGAGTATTCTATGGTTCTTCAGTCTTTACCATGGTCATTGACTCTATCTTTGTTGGAGACATGTTTAGTTTGCATTCTTTCCACTGGAAGTCCCTTTTGAACCCAATAAAAAAATCTAAGATATTGATATAGTTATATCATTGTCACAAGTATTATTATACATTATTATTTACTCTAAGTAAATGTGAATAAGGTTACATTGATCTTGTAGTACTTGCCATACCTGCCACCTGATTTGTATGCTGTCCCACCAGTTGAAAATCACCAGTTTTTTCTTCAGATATTTGTTCTGAGAAACTCATTTGTTGAGTTTCATATTCCTCCCCATTTTTATCATAATTTTCTTTTGAGTTCTCCCCTATGTGATTATTGCAAAAATCAACCTAGAAATGATATGGAATGGAAAGTTTTATGGAAAGTTTTAACAAGCGTATCAATCTTTTTATCCAAAGCTCCTGATTTATTATCATAACCTAATATCCTTGGGTAAAGTCCACAAATGTGACTTTGTACATTCTTCTTACCAAAATAAATAAATAAAGTATGTAATTATTCACTTACCTAGTGGCTTGTGGTACACATCTGAAATTCTATGCAAAACTTTGAAAGGTCTATAGAGAGTAGAACAAGTAACAGAGCAGAAAGAGTAACTACCTTAGACTGGTCTGGTTCTGGAGTTAAAATCTCTAGTGATGAACTTGAAGTTTTGCTTCCATGATTATTTCTTGAGTTAGATGCTGGTCTTGAAATTCCATCCAGACTTCCTCTTGTAATATCCATTGTAACCTTAAATGATTAGAAAAGGAGAACTTAATCATATGGAATCTATTTTAAAAATTCTGCTTCATTTTCAGCAATGAACTTATCTTCTTAATTTTGCAGTTTATATCAGTGGTTCAATTTAATAGGCAAAAGAAATGAGTGGATATTATTTTATTCTCTGTTGCCAAAAGCAATGGCCCTGATATGGTCGGGAGACTGCAAGACCTGACCCTGAATGGTTGGCACATGAACAAACAACCGTCTGGGATTTTCAGAGCTTTGAAGCTAAATGAAGCTTCTTCCCCTTCTCCTTTATTCAGAAAGCAAGAAAAAAAAATCAAGCAGACTAACTAAGAATGAGTTCTAAACTTCTACACTTTTCTTAATATGAAGGAGAAAACAAAATATGTGACTAACCTCTTGCATAATAATGGTTTTCCCATATTGCCACTACAAACAAATCCGACAATAGGCCTTGTTAGAGAATATAGAGGCAATATCAGTTAGACTATCTCTAAATTTAAAAAAAAGTAAGTTCATGACAGTTAGGGGGATCTTTGAAAGCTATACATCAATAGTAAAAAATATTACTTCTGGAGATAGCCTGATTTCATCATAGAAACCATGACAATTGTATGTGCATGTTTACTCCATCAGCAAATATATGTGTTTAGGTTACTTTATGTTAGGAATACTTCACTATTTGCTGATAGGCACCATATTTCCCATTGCAAAATAAAATACTGATTGTTTTACTATCATTGTGTGGTTAATTGAGACAGCCATAGGATAATGAGCTACTATTTAGAAATTATTATTTCTGTGGACTCTTTGGTCCAAAACAATCTTCATGGTATTGTTTTGCATTCGAGCATGAGTGGAAGCAGGAAGTTCAGCCAGCAAATTTTTACAACAGTCCAGCCATGAAACATCAACCATCGACCCTTACAGGGTCGTTGTTAAGGGGAAAACAGAAGGAGCGAGGAGTATTGGATATGTTTACCACCTTGAGCTATTTATAAGATAATGAAGGCAGGATAAAAATCTAATAATAAACAACTTAAAAGCATTGCAGTCAAGAATCTGGTTTGTATTGATATTTTACACACTGTAGATGTATTTTATTTATATTATACATTTTTATAAAATTTTATTACATGCTAACCTGCTATTGACTGTACAATATAGTACATTTTGTCCCAATGTTTAGACTAAATAGAAAAGTGGTCAATTATTAGAGGTTTTCTGTCGTCTTCGACTTTCAATGCCAATGTATTATAGAAACTGTCATCTGCACAAATAACCCTATAAGAAAAGACCCAGATCACAAAATTTGAGCAAGAGCCCAAAGTAACTATAAATAATATGTCTTAAAATGGGTGCGGGGTGTGGGGAGGGCATCTTTTGAAGACCATGCAGCCCATGTTTACTGCTTTGGGACTAAGTCCCAGTGAACGAAAATAAATCAATTCTGGTGCTGCCTGTAAATACAGACATATAGAAAAACAAAACAAAATACATAAAGCCGATATTGGGCTTCCTGCTACTGTATTGGTACCCAACACGACCATGAACGCAAAAGGTTCATCACAACGATTGCTGAAAAAGATAATTTCCCCCCACCAGAATCGGCTGCATACAACCCTCGGTCTACCTATACCCCGAAAGAATATTAGAAATGCACCTCCAGAGGCAGACAAAACAAGCAACAATTTCCATCAAGAAACAGCAACTAGTCGCCGCACTTCTGCGTTGCTATGGCAACCCACGGGATCGAGCGTAAACAGGAAGTAGGGCAGCCACTAAGGGCGGAAGTTAAAACGCTGGCTTTTTGACGCTTTGCAGGTGATGGTTAGTAGTTTAGTTGGCGGCGTCGCTGCACGGAAAAAATGAGCCGGAACATTGCTAGAGATGCCCGGGGATTGATAGCCTTTTTTTTTTTTTTCTCCACCTTATATATACGTTCTGAAGAGCTTCCGTATCTTCCGATAGGACTGCAAAACTCTGGACAGACGCTAGAGACACAATGAGTTCAGTACAGTGAGGTTCCGGATTTTTACACTCCGAATCTAGTGTCCTTATTTACATAGTCCATAGGTGTTACAGAGCCTATAGTTTCTTACGGAGCCCATGGCGATTTTATGGGAACATCCGTGTAATTTTATTTGCAGCAATCACTTTGCCTTCCATTGTTTTGCCATTATCCAATCTTATTCTCTAAGGTAGCTTTTGTCAACCTCAACAACTTCGTGGTCTCTTCCAGAATTCTTCAGCCAGCATGCTTGCAATTTAGGGAGGTGGAATTTTGGGGTTTAAGTGGACTTTAAAAAACAATTTCTTTGGGGGGAGGGTGGATGAATAGAGATAGAGAGTTCATTTTTTATTGTTGTGGGAGCTTTGTTTTATGTTGCTTTAATGTAGTCTTACTATATCAGGAGTCATCCCCTGAATGCATATGGTGTGATATGTACCCATTGATAAGGTGTTTCTAATATCTATTCCCCTGGATTTAAGAATTTCAAAAAGAAAGTGCTTTGCTTGAAAATAAAAGCAAAGGCATATCTCTTTCTTTTATATGTGAATAAGAAGCCTAAAAGAGGATGTGAATGGCAATGAATGGATGATTTAGCTTCCCCTGTGGACAGAACCAGAAATTATTTGATGGATTATTCTTCACCCACCAGATGGAGTCTTCCAGCTTGCATTCTATTACTCATTTTTTTCTGAAACATATGGGTAATTGCCTTGTATCAGTACAGTGAACTTGAACTAAAATAGACTATGCAAACTTTGATTTTCTTCTTCACATTCAGAGAAGCATAGATTTGCTATGTCAATTTCATTCCACTTCTTTTCCAGCTAAATCTTTACATGGGAAGCTAGCAAATGGAGGATGCAGACTAGACTTGAGAAATTGAAAAATCCAGGGCAAAGGCAATGACAAATCACTTCTACTGTGTTGTCATGAGAACAACTTGGACACGAACACATATCATTGGGAATTGAATTTGACTTGGAGCTGACACATGTGGAGTAGTTTCAGAGGCCTAGGTGGTTAAAGTAGTGTCACAATGGAAGCTCTACCCCATTTTGTGTGTACAAAAGGAGCAAGACATGCATCATGATATTGTTTCTACTCTTTTTTTTGACACACACAAACACATATTGATGCCAAAATTGACTTTTTAGATATATACACCATGAATAATAGAGTGTTTTCTTGGTTTTCTTCAGGGATTGCAAATGCAAGTGAAATTGTATATATGACTCACCCACACAAAGACTGTGTTTGCATGAAATACTTGCTCATGGTAATCTAACCATGATTTGCTTGTTAGTTTGCATAATTGAAACAAAGTAGCTATTTAGGTTGAGTTTGTCCAGCAGCCTAAGTTGACTAATCTGTGGTTCAGTGTGTCATGTGTAAACAAGCAATGAACTAAAAACAGAATTAAGCACTGGCGATCAATGGAATACTATTTAGTGATGCTAAATACCCAGAGGCTTTGGGCAAGAGATGTAAACATGACATACATATTGACATTGTTGATGTCATTGGAATGAAAGAGCAGAATAGAGTCTCTTCAGACAAGCTGGCAATGGCAAAGTCCTACCTCAGATTTGGCATCATTCATGAATATTTTGCCTAGGAAAGTTGGAATGCCTAGCTGCACTTTCAGAATATTAACTAAGAGTGTGATTCACAATCTTCAGAGATAATGTTAAAATATCTCAGCTTTCTGCCAGCCTATTTGCAGAAAGAAATCTCACATTGATTTTCTAATATCCTCCCTCAGCTCTTTCTCACTGTTGCAGTGGGATGGCTGCTAGATTGGAAGCTCATCCTAATAAGCTGCAAAATACTTTCTGAGACTCTTTGATTTGGAGATCAGGGTCAAACATGTGTTTTGTAACATATAGTTCTATATTGTATGTCCAGAGAAGCTGATTGCTCATCTGTATGAAACGGGAGGTTATTTCAGAGTTCTATGTAACTTTTCCTATTTTCATATGCCTTGTCAGATTAATCCAAAATGGAGCACATTTTCTTTCTGGCAGTGCTCCTAATTATGACAGGTTTTGCCCATTTGAATAAAATTTCTACTTTTTAAAAGAAACTCTCTTGACTTTTTAAAAATTGTTAACCATTTAGGCATTCTCTTTGACTTGGTTTGCATAATGAGTTCACAAAACCATGAGCAAAATTGTGAGTAACAAATTCACTTAGTATGGAGTACTGCATCCCTGGACTAAGTTTGAGTAGATCAACCTGTCAACTCTACATTTGCTACAGCTTTGGCTATAATCTTGGCTATATCTAACCTTATGGAAAATTCATAGATGACAGTCAGTATTCTGTCCAAAAAATGAGGCTAACGTGATGGGGATTGGCATATTATCCCTATCTATGGCACTTCCTGATAGTCTTCTTTCTTGCAATTAACACATTACACACAAGCACATCCTTTGAGCTGAAGGTAACTTTTCTAATCTGTGACATATTGTGGAAAGGGTCCTAGTATTATGGCTTTAAATAATACAAGTGAGTTGGAAACATGACCCTGCTTTCCTTTTCTCTTCCTTTTCCTAATATCCTCTCTGTGTCTGTCTGTTGAGTGTGTGTATGTGTGTTTAAATTTATATGTTGTCTGTTTTGAAACCCAACATTGATTGCATTGGATTTTGTGAGCAACTTTGTTCCTAGAAACATGTTGCAGGTGAGCAAATGGAATATTTTTCACCAATTTATTTTATTGCATAAAAGAACATCGGGTGCCTATTCTAGGCAGAAACTATGAGCAATCAGAAAAGGTTTATATTCACTATTTACCACACTGTGGATTTCTGAGGCGCAGCAATCTGTAAACAGAACTCTTCGTAAAGGAGCTGTCTAACAAGCAGGCTATAAAAGGTCTTAGTAGCCTAGCATTAATAACCACATTTATTCCTACTGCTGCGTTCTATTACAAGCATTCTGTTATAAGGCAGTTTTAAATCCAAACAGATCAACTGGTGGT